TGCTTCTTCCCAAAGGGAAAGCATGAGAGAAGAAATAGCTTACAACAGATGTTAATCTTTCTGCTTACTGGAAGGCGTTCCAAATACAGTGACAAGCACAGTACAAAAGCTTATATAGAATAAAACAGATTAACAATATATTTTTTAAGGGCTACATTTTTCAGCCAGACCTAAGCAAACCTTTCCCTTAAAAAGCAATTTTGTTTCCATGCTTTCTGCATGCATACAGGCAATGAATATTAAATATTGGAAAACCCTTTGCTAGGTTATACACCATGCTGATTAAGATACCTTGAATTAGATTATGCCTCCTTCTCCACTAGCATTCCAACACATCCCCTTTGGAGTGCAGTAGGTTATGTAGCAGAAAGGTGCACGACATGCCTTAGGGGATTATAGTCCTTTTCTCCTCTGACACTGTAATAATGACTTTGCCCAATTCCATTGTTCCATACTCAAACAAACAATAAAACACTTTTGTCTCTCTTGAACAATTCAGTTTAACTTCTGATACAGACATGCACATCAGACAGCTTCTTTCCCAGCTTCACAAAGGCCAACTCACATATAGTAATAATATTTTTTCCATTTTTTTATGCCTATGCCCAGTCTTCACATATTACATTCGAAAGTAATGATTGTTTTAGACTTAGGATACAAACAGAGAGGTGCTTTGCCACAGATCAGTCTGTGAGAGCACTTTTCCTGCTATTGCACAGCGCAGGTGCTGGCTAGAAGGGTTGTTTTCCTTTCAAGAAATTTTCCACAAGTACTGTCACCAAGGAAGCCAGGAGTTGGTTTGGGTACACATGTGAAGAGAAGTTGCAGCTGCTAGTGGAACTGTGCGGATGATAACTATGACATGAAGTGTTATAAATGCAAATGTGCTTTTAGGTTATGGGAACATGTAGAGACCACAGCCTCTGGTTGGGCTCATGCTGTACCTGCAAAGAAAAAAAGTAGGGTAACAAAGCCATTTCTGCCCCAATGCAGCCTACAGTCTAGTGACTGAATGCAGATCCTACTGAATGACACACAATAAAATCACTCCTGAAGAGAAAAAATAGGCAGCACTTGACAGCAGAATTGGCTAGGGTCTATTGAAAAACATGCGCATGTTATGTAAAACAGTTCCTGTTTCTGTTCACCATTAATCTACGTGATAGTTCCACCATGTGCTTCTGCCACACAGCTCTGCACTATTCTAGTCAGGAATGTCATGAGCAAAGCAATCTCAAGCCCTGCCTTCAACCAAGAGTGGAAAAATAGGTCAGGGAAATAGCATTATAATCTGATTTAACTGCTCTTCAAATCATCACAATCTCTCTATTAATTTCAACAAGAACTGGATTGGGCCCAAATTACAGACAACAAAATGGGAGGTTTATTTTAATACCTTGACTGCTTTATTGAAAATGCTCCACTGGAAGAACTGAAACTAAGATTTTTTTTTCATGTGCCTTCAAATGGATACACTGAGTGACATTTCTATATAAAAAGGTTCAAACAAACAGATTTTCTACACCTCAGCTGGAATCTGGAGCCCCAGCCTGCGAAGGGGCCACCCCTCCTTACAATTACTGAGTGCCATTGAGCAGAGGAACAGCTTGAGAATTAGAGCGCATCACCTGTGTGTTTCAGTATAAGAACTCCACAAGTTGCTTCTGAGAGTGGAGAGTCTGCAGTTTAAAAATATCTCACTCAACTGGAAGCCTCAAAGGCCAATGTAAGATGAAAAATTAGATCTGGATTGTCCTGCTCTGCTCTACGCTTTTATATCCTCATCTCAAGTCCTGTGTGCAGGTTTAAGCATCACAATACAAGAAGAACATAAAACTATTAGAGAGCATCCAAAGGAGGGCTGCAAAGATGGTGAAAGGTCTGGAGAGGAAGATGTATGAGAATCAGCTGAGGTTCCTTGGTCCCTCTTGAGCCCAGAGCAGAGGAGTTTTGCTTTGGGTGGTACTGTGTGGGATCATGAGTTGGGCTTGTCGATCCACTGTGAATCCCTTTCAAATGGAGATATTCTATTATTCTATAGAATTAAAATCCCAAACATTGCAGCCCATAGCAGAAATTGTGTTTATTTGATGAAAACAAAAATAACCGCATATTCTGGGAAAAAAAATTTAGAAAAAAGTCTGCCAAAGAATCTTGTTTTGGCAAATAATGAATGCCTAAAGAAATATTGTTTGTATTATGCAATGAACTTGTAATTAATGTTTGTTTGTGCTCTCTTTAATAGCAGTACTGCAAAAAGTGATGGGATTTTGCTATCATTTGTGAATATGCAAATTTTGAATCTTTATTCCCCATATGGAAGAGCTCCCAGGGGGTCATATCATAAACCCATGCAAATGATCAAAATAAATTTGTAATTTGTATCCATACAAATGTGGAGAATGAGAAAGCTGCATGTATTGTTTCCTGTAAGTATAGCTAAGTGCCTCGGTTTACTTGTATGGTGATTTTCTGGTTGACTGCATTGAGGTAAATCAAGAGTCTTGATGAGGAACAATGAAAGCATCAAAATATAAATACAAAGGGCCATATCAGGCCTTCAACCACTCCACAGATAAGAAGAGAGGAACATATAGACATGATTAAGCCAGTCCAAGAGATTGTCCCTGTACCTGATGCTACAGTAGCACAAACTGCAGTTAAACTTAGCTGCTTGAGTAAGAAGGTAGGCATGCTGGTGGGCTTACTGAAACCTTTGCTGCCATTTCGTTGCTCTTAGGGCTCTTCATTACCCATTAGTAAAGCCAGACATTGCACAGGTGGAGGTTGGGGAAGGTTAGGATGCAGAACAATGTTCAGCCTTGGATAATATGCATGAATATGGACATTGTACTGCTTCAGCCTTTTGTGTGATAGGTTGTATTCTAGAGGTGTAATGAATTCTGGTTTGTTGTGAAAAAGCTGTCCCTTTAATTTGCTGCTATGAGGGCACTGGAGTAAGGTTTTAGCAAATGCCAAACTCATACAAGCCCTACTTGTTAATATGTTTGGGCAACAGTGACAAAGCTGCCTCTCAGAAAATCAGTCCTGGAATGGTAGCATTGCACCACCAACTCAGAACAAGGTACGCAAGCTATGGAGGTCATCCAGGGGGGACAAAATAAGGTTAAAGCATGCCCTGTAACCAAAACTGATGCACAATAGCTAAGAGAACATGGATTGTGATAGGACTCAGTAAAGCATGTTTTCCAGCTCCTCCTGGAAGATACTAAACATCCCTTCATTTCCAAAATAATTTCAGAATGAAAACTTGATCTTTGTTAAACATCAAGCAGAAAGTTTTGGTGGCTGGGAGAGTTTTTCTCCAGGAAATGGTATGGAAATTTTAAAGTTCTCTGCAGGCTTTGAGCAGGAGATGAACATACAGACCAGAATGAGCTGCAGAGGAGACAGCTTGCAAGTGGGGGAGGCTATTGCTGAAGGAGATCTAGGCCTGCGAAAATTCAGAAAACACACAGAACATAAGTACTCCTGATAATGAGGTCTTATATGTAGCTGCATACTTTAGTTTTAGTTCTGACAGAAGTGAGATTGCTGTGTGGTTATTTCCAATGTTGTCTGTATGAAATAGAAAATTTAGTAAACTATGGTGCAAGGCTGCTGCAGAAACATTGATATTTCATTAATACTAAGTAAAATTGCAAAAACAGGCCTGAAATTAAAGACTGTTCTAGAACACAAACGAAAAAGAGAAATACAAATACAAATACTGCCATGAGCTCAAGAGAAAGATAAATAAAAAACCATGTTATTCCACTTTTTTCAACTCTTCAAAATTGAATCTAACACAAGGAAAATTTTTCTGTTTAACAGAACATCGATGCTTCTCTAAGTGCAGCATTTGCAATGCCATCATCACTGCTAAAACATAACCTTAACAATAATTTAAGTCCCTGTTACAGGTCTTTCCAATGCTCTTGAACTTCATCTATTTCCAGGAACAATCTGCTCATCTTTGACACCCCAAAATGGCAAAGAATCAATGTGTCATTATGCCATAAGAACAGCTGAAAAGCAAAGACTTGAACTTGATAAGAAAACTATGACCTTCACTTTATGTTCACAGCTTTGTTTTCTACAAAATGTAATTTAAAGAGAGAATTTAAGAACTTTATCTTGGAAATACAAATACTCCTTCCTCCAGGCAGATTTAGTTCATAGATCTGCTACTAGATTCTGCCACTAAAAAAATATTAGAAAAAAAATAAATAAAGGAACAATAGGAAGATCTAACATTGAATTCAATGCTAGAAAAATGTTCAAATATGAAAAATAGACCTCTGAGGGCTACACAAAGAGCAATACATCTGCACTTAATAATCATGACTCAGAAAGAATAACCACTACGCATGTTGAAAATGACATCTAAAGCTTTTGAGAAGAAGGGCTGAAATGGGGAACAAAGTGTATGATTAGGGAAACTATGCTGGATATTCAGAAAAGAAAATTCAGGTCTCAAAGTGTGAGCATAGATGACCTAATACTTTCACCTCTACAAAGACTCTCAGACTGGCATCTGGGTTAGCTGAGACAAAACTCTATATTGGGATAAACTGAGATAAAGTAAGTTAGAAAAAGAATGTTTGAGTCTAAATCCTGAACAGAAAGGTTCTTCCACCTCCCTTTTTTAATTACATATTTGCAGATTTTTGCATCCATGATTTGTGATTCATTTTACAAAGCCTAAATTTACAGTTTGCCATATGTATTTTGTTCTTTCACAATGAATCTGAGTTGTTTTTTTTTCTTATGACTTTTCATTGTGCTAACAGTATACTCCCAAAATATATCTGATATTTCTTTTCTTCACAAACTGGAGAAAATCATAGCTCTGCTTTTCAACTCACTGAAGGTGAGTTGCCCAGTAACATACAAGATCTACTAAATTTGTTCAGTCAAATGGGTGTGCAAACCTACACAGACTTTGGCACTAGATGGGAACACAGCATATTAAACAACACATGGAACTTATTTCGTACCTGAGGTAGCACTGCTGGTCCTTGTCCTGCCAACCTCTGCAAGGAGCTGACCTGAGGAACCTTAATGGGCACTGCAGTGATAGTTCCCAAAGTCTGTTGAAAAAAAAACCAACAAACACAAAACAATAGAACAAGGATTAAAATACAGGCATAGCTTGCCCAGGCTCTACTCTACACAGAGCTTCCCTTCCCAATCCACTTGGACTAAACAGTTACTTTCCCTTCTCTTTAACTTCAAAGAACTGCTCATTAAAGCCAGTGCCTTCTTACAGCATCTCCTAACTATGAGTGCGAAGGATGTGCCTCATTATTATGCATTGGGTGTATTTTTTTTGGTACACACAGCAAACAATCATGTGGCAACAACAGAAGACTGTCTAGGCTTGTTTTCAAAAGAAAGGTGAAATGCACCATCACAAGACTTCAAAATGTGCACTAGAAGGTGATGCATTGCATGGTTGCCAGGGTCATATGAGAAGTTCACTGTGTTTAGTAAACATTAAATACTGAATTATTAAAATGGGAAGCTACTTATAAATCTGCTTTAACGCACTGTAACATAACATTCATCTAGGACAGCTGTTTATCAGGGTGGGGAATGGTCTCAAACTGAGAGGGGGAGCTTTAGGTTAGATATTAGGAGGAAGTTTTTCACCCAGAGGGTGGTGACACACAGCAACAGGTTGCCCAAGGAGGCTGTGGATGCCCCATCCCTGGAGGCATTCAAGGCCAGGCTGGATGTGGCTCTGGGCAGCCTGGTCTGGTGGTTGGCAACCCTGAATATGGTAGGGGGGCTGACACTACATGATCATTGTGGTCCTTTTCAACCCAGTCCATTCTTTGATTCCATGACAGCATCCATTTGGGCCAATGCAGCAGCTATTACCATCTACCTGTATTCACCCTTCCCTCAAATAAGAATTTGATTAAAAACTTATTTAAGAGATCTGACGTAGTTCCTTCAATGAGTAAATGTCTTTCTCATAAAGATACTTTTCTAAGCAGAGAGCCTGTTAACCCAGTAATGTCTTTCTCACTTATGAATACAGAAGGACATCAACAGAACAAGTAAAACATGCTTTTGTAATACTGTCATATACATTTAAATTCCCCTTCTCCCCCTAAAAAAATCTCAGTGACTGTTCAGCCTCACTACTTTGCTGGCTTTTCATCCATCTATAGTGATGTAGATAGAGGTATGACATTTATTTCAGACAGTCTGAATGGTAGATCTTTTTCAAGACACCCACAGATGCTTCTGAAATACTGAATCTGAGATGTTGTAAATAGCTTGTACTTCTTTCCTCCAAAAAAAAAAAGATAGATAACTCAGTGGGTCCTACATCTAAAGAATATTTCTAGCTTTTCCCCTTTACCTTCCACTCATTCACCCTGTTATGCTATTCATATTTCAGTTAACTGGCCAGTATTCTTAAGACAAGTTTGTATAACTTCTATCTAATGTTTCCTAATTGCTGTTGGAATAATGTGGCAATATATGCAAGAACATGACTGCCATTATAAGAGCATGGGAGACATAGTCACTGGAAAAAAAAAAAAAAACACAAAACAAACCTGAAAAAATGTATTTGGTTGCTAGAAACGACTAATAACAAAAGAAAAACAGGTTCCAGTGAATTTCTCTGAACTCAACTCTCCTCAGAACAAAGATATTGGATCATGGACAGCAAAATAAAATATGCTGATGTTACCCCAAACTGATAATGAAATTTGTCAATAAAAATGAAAGTATAATTAAGTCAGTTCAAGCAAAGAGAGACTGTGTTAGGTCCGTGTTGATGTGTTCTTCTCAGACTTCAAAATCAGAGTCATAAAATAGTCTGCTTCATTTTAACTACAGCGTTTGATAAGAATGCCATGCATTCTCATGCATAATATTTTTAATAAACCTGTCATACAGAGCTTATGTTTCAACACCGCCACTTTTCTTTCAGATACTTGGTTGTGTGGTTTCGTATCTTCAAGAAAGTTTAAAAATAGCCAGAGTCAATCACCAAGGAGAGTTGTATATCTGTAAGCATGCAAGATCATTTTTCCTGAGTGCTCATAGATTATCAGTACCCGCCTGGATTGCCCAAGTAAAAATATACCCCAAAATTTGTCTTGACCAAAGAGAGAGAAAAAAAAACCAACACCATTTCTACCTCAAGACACAGGAATTAGCAAGTTTTACCTTCCCACATGAGTACTGTCAGCAAAGTGAGGAAGTGAATGGAGTGTTTCCACTGCAGCTATCCCTATAGAGGGACATATAGAATAAAAACAGGAAGGATACAAAAAACTATCTGCGTGAATGGCTTGTTTGCTCTCTCTACCATATGACTGTCTTACACGCTGGAGAGGATGACACAAGGAATTCCTGAAGGGAAGGAGAACTTGAGAAGCCACTTGCTGTATGGCCACCTAGTAGATGTAGTACTACTCCCTGTTTTGTATTATCATGATCTACATTAACTCAGCTCAGTTGTTTTTCCTTTTACAATGGACAACAAAAAGGAATTTACAAACTCAGATAATCTGAAAATTTACATATTTCATGCAATATGATGCACATTTTCTCTGCATCCCAGCACTATTAATTAATAATATGAGATTTCTTTGGTAATGCAGTGAGCCCAGGTTTTCCCTGCAAACATCACAACTTCTCATGGGCTGCACATAACCCACAACTGCGAACTGTAACAAGAAGTTCCTCCTTTAGGAAGGTCATGCTTAAAGTGTGGCTTCTTACCTTTTCTATACATGCCACCACAGACCTTGAAAACTCATATTCAGATATTCATATTCCTGCAGATATGACTGGATTTGCAAGGATTTTCACACCGTCCAACAGAATACCATGTATCAAAATCAGAAGTGCTGACACTGAATGAAATTGGGAATTGACTATAAAGATAAGAATCAAATTACTCAGAAGTTAGATAAGATGTGGTTATCAACTGTTAGGATGCACAGAAATTTCACGTGAGTAACAAATCTCCTTTTTTGTACTACTTCAAATATCAACCACGGGAGGAGAAAAAAAATGTGTCTGGAATAGAATGCCTCTATCCTCTGAGAAAGGAGCTCATCTCAGCCTCTAGGTGCATTGCTGTGCCAGTTCTGTTATGTTTAAAAACACACAGCGCTGGAGCTGTGAACATGAATGATAAGAAACAAAAAAAAAAGCCATAAAACTGCTCTATGCCGTTCTCTTGGCTTCACCTGAAAACAAAGGCAGGATGTATTGTCTGTGGGTATCAGAGGAATGAACTATCATTAGTTCTGTCACCTGCGCCCTGAAAAAATTCTTCAGATTTATTTTCCTGAAGTAGGAGTTCTGCAGCCATCTCAAGAGAGCAAAAACAAATTACGGCATTCTTGGGTTATGAAATTTTCAGTGACAAAGATGCAGCCTACTGTTTACAAATGTTTTTATGGTAAGGATCTGTTATTTAATATTCAAGCAGTGTCAGCGCATAAATCACATGGCTGAGGGAAAATTCAAAATTTTGATCTCACTCAGTAATAATGGCACTGTAGTACATTCAGACAGGAGTCTATTTAAGAATCTGTTTTAATATTCACTGTTCGCGTTAGTTTGTTATTGTCTCTCAGCATGGAAAATAAATAGGTCAAGATGTTGTACAAGCAGAATTCAGCAACAGAAAACTCTGAACTGTTCCTAGAACACATCTCGTCTTTTATCTCAGAGAACTCAGTACTACTGTCTCCATTTCAGTGATGAAAAAATTGACATTTGGAGGCAAAATAACGTTGTAAGGGCTAAACTTCTGTACGGTGGAAAAGCAAGCCAGACTTCCCATTTCAAGTGTCTGATCCACACTGTTGATTAATGTCATCTTGTCTGTTGATGCAGAGCCACATTTGACTCAGTTAACTTTTAGGTCAGTGACAACTATTTTCACTCCCAAACTGTCCAGGCTTGCCATGGTGAGCCTGAAGGATCAAACACTCTTCACTCACTAATCCCACACCTTAATTTCCACCCGTGCGGGGTTTTATTTTCTCCTTCCCTTTTTCCAATTTGTCCAAAGAGCAAGCTGGTGCACATTCTTATAAACCTTTAATTAACAAGCTGAAAAGACATTTTTCTGGCAATGCCTGACCTTTAAGCACTTTGTATGAATTTATCGATACCAGCAGAAACAATAATTTAAAAGGTTATTTTATGAGTGCCGAATAGTTTATGGCAGCACTTTTGTCAAGATAAATGAGTTTCTTATTACTACATTTACAGCTCTGAGCATTTTAATAAAAAAGGTCTATAAAAGTCAAAGATAACTTCAAATCTTTCTTCTACCTAAGTCTGCTTGGGTTTTTCTGCTGACCCCCTGAAATACCTACAGTGTGGAAAGAGAACCAAAATGAGAAGTGACACGGGGAAATTAAGAGCCAAGTTTCTGTTTGCCTACAAACAAGCAAGTTCGCAGTGTACGAGATCTGCAGTTTAAGCCCTTGAGTAAATGTCACCCAGTAGCATGTTCTGAAGGGTCACATTTTGAATTGCAAAAACAGGTGAAGAGATGCAAGTTAAATAATATGGATATAGGTTGCTCCAAAAGTAATACTTTCTGTTTATTTCCATGGAAACAACATCAGATACGAAGAGCACAATAACACTATAGATAGAGTTTGATAGAGTACATTCTCAGCTACAGAAAACTATTTTTCAACATACTCTCCATCATTAGCTATGCATTTTTGCCAACAATGAACAGCAGCCTGCATGCTCCGCTCATAAAAATCTCCATGGCTGCCCGGGATGTGGATTTCATGCTGCTGTCACCACTACTGAAATACAACCCCCACCACCTCTCTGTGCTAAGATCCATGGTTTGGTCTCCATCAACACTGAGCAAGCATTGATGAATATCAAAGGATGCCATTTTTTCCACATGGAGGAATTCAGTTGCATACCTTTGCTTCATATGCACTTCCATCTCAGACACCATTTTGCCAGACTGCCCCTCTGCTGCCATCTGTCACACAACAATAAAATGTAATGAAATATTGATGGGAGGGTTCAACTTCTACTGTCATACCACCAGCATCACCCTCAGATGTCATGG